TTATTGCTCTTGACGATCATTCGAGTAGTGATTAGTGAGGAAGCATATTCACCAGTGAAGCATCGGTATATACGCAGCCACATGCGCTTAGGTAGTGTTCCCTATGCAGTGCCCAGGGGACGGAGTACATTCCGGAGTACATCCCGTGGCCCTAAACCAGGAATAGACAGTGAAAGTGAGGATGATGTGGCTACACTTGGCATGGATAGACCACAGGCATCAGTAGGTGGTGGTAGTGGTGATGGTAGTGCCACTGCCATGCATGACTCGCCAGCCCAGGCTGGGACCCAAGCCGCTGACTCCTCAGCTCAAGGACAAAGCGGAGTGCCAGCCACCAGCCCACCACAACCACAACTACCAGCACAACCAGTTTATGATGTCCAGCAAAATCCCAATTTTGTTCCCAAGCCCCACCAGTTTGATGACTCTCAAACTGGAATTCTACCCACTTGTCCCCTTGGAAACTGCAAATGAACTGGAATTCTTTGAACTATTCTTTGACCAGCCCTTGATGGAAACTATTGTCAGGGAAAGTAACAAGTATTTTGAGTACACCATGGCAAATACGATCATATCGCCACAGTCAAGACTACACCGGTGGAAAGAGACAACTGCTGCAGAAATGTATTTGCTTTTTGCAACAATAATGCTTATGCCTCATGTCTATAAGCATAATATAAAATCATACTGGTCCACAAATCGGCTAATTTGTACCCCGGCCTTCAGCGAAATCATCCCAGTGAACAGGCTTATCTTACTGTTACATATGTTGCATTTATCTGACAAAACCAGGCCTGACAGAAGTGACAGGTTATACAAGATTAGAAATGAAAAGTTCAACATGCACTTTTATCCATTCAAGAATCTTGTAATTGATGAGTCTTTGATTTTGTTCAAAGGTAGGCTGTCATTCAAGCAGTGTATACCGAGCAAGAGGAAACGCTTTGGTATAAAACTGTTTGTACTCTGTGACTGTGACGGTGGCCTGGTATTGGATATTGTTCTATACATGGGAAGAAAAAAATTGAAAGATACCAGGATGTTATTGGGTATCTCAGGTGATGTAGTGAGAAGCATGGGCACCTTATCTTGGTAAGGGGCATACATTATATACTGATAACTGGTACACAAGCCCTTTACTCAGTGATTTCTTGGGAGTGAACATGACAGATGTGTGTGGCACAGTGCGTTCTAATCGTAAACATATGCCCAGGTTCAATGCAGGCACTCATAGTGGTGAGGTGCAGGTGTTTACTGCCAATGACATCATGGCATTACGGTGGCATGACAAACGAGATGTCACATTGTTGACAACCATTCACTGTAACGAAATGCAAGACAGTGCCAAAATTGATAGTGACTAGTGAACGTATTCAAAAACCAGTGACAGTGATTGATTATACACAAAACATGGGCTTGGTTGACAATTGACATGCAGATTGGCTTTGTTGATTGTGTTCGTAAGAGTTACAAGTGGTACATGAAACTTTTCTTCCATCTCGTGGACATTTCAGTGCTCAATGCATATATTATGTACCAAATGAAGACTGGCAACAGACCACCGTATGGTGAATTTTGTTTGTCTATTGTCAGACAACTCATAATGTGCCAGGTAACAACACCTGCTATACAAAACCGTCCTCGAACTCCTCGGGAAATACCCAAGCGTTTGAGGAGGGAAGGTGATCACTTCATAATACAGCAACTTAGAAGAAATTTGCTCAGAAGAGATGTGTTGTCTGTGCACAAACAAAACGACGGCAACAAAGACACAAAGACACTCGGTTTATGTGTGAGGAATGTAAGGTACCTCTGTGCATGATACCTTGTTTCAAGGAGTTCCACAAGCTGCAGCAGTTCTAAAAACATGTCCAGTGATTGTACATATGTAAATATATAATAGAACATTAGTATTATACAAGATTTGTGCATGTTTCTTGTAATAAACAAAAGTGGTAAACAGTATTGTAATAATAACTTTAGTGCAGTTATTGTGTTCAATACAGTGAGTGTATATATATACATTTTATACAGTATTGGTCTCACTGGCCACAAATGTTACTAGAAAAAGAAAAACATTAGAAAAGAAAAGAAAAAAGTATAAAAAAACGTAAAATAAAGAAATGCGAGTTGTGTAAATCGCCAATGTTGCCGCCACCCGGTCATTTTGGGTCAACTTCTCGCCTCTGTATCTCGGTAAGTACTTACCAGAAATTTTTTTGTTTTATTACCTTCAAAAAATATACTCTTTATTTCTGTAAGAATTTTTTTTTTTTTTTTTTTTTTTTTTTTTTTTTTTTTTTTTTTTTTTTAAAATTTCTTGGCCACTGGGGCACCCCTTCCGATTTTGCCTTTGAACCCTGAAAGGGTTAGCCTTGTAATTTAGTGGATTAATAAGACACATTTGCAACACTTGGATATTTTATATATCGACTAAAGAAGCCTACTCAGCAGGTGAATTGTTTTTGCAGTAAAGATACCATGTTGCAAATCTGGCTTATTCATTAACTTGTTAGTATTGTGTACCCTCCATATTACAATTACAATACAGCTAATAACAGTGATGAAACTTATTCCCACATTTCTCCAGTATGAGTCCATATCCCTTAATGCACACTTTTTCTTTACTTCAAAAGACAGTACAGCAGGGAAACTGTTCTAAAATAAATTCCTATCAGTTTATCTTGTGTGTTATGCTGAAATAGAGGGGCATGGATTATCTGGATTGGGATCTGTTTTGCTGCAGTAGCGACCAAAGTATAGAATTGTTTGTTAATTGGGACAGTGATGAAATAAGACATTTATTTGGAAAAATTTAAAGTTTATTTGAAAAATACATGGCAATGATATGACAGATAACTGATTTAATAAAAAGATGAGTACCCTTTGCTTTTATAAGCATTGTTACACACTTTGGCATAGAATTGACCAATGTTGAACACATTTTTTGCAAGTTCTTCATTGTGGTACCAGTCCTGATAATGGCAGCAATAAGCTTCACAGTTGAATAGTCCTGTTTTGCAATCCTACACTTGGTTATTACCCATAGACAGAAGCAGACTGGGTCTTAAAACTTTCCTGGGCACCTGCCACCTACCAGGTTGGCTCAGCTGCTGCCAGTGCGACACTAGCAGACTGCTGAGGGCCAGAGGCATGTTTTCACTGCTCAGCTAAGGCGGATTCCATTTTTGTTTCAATCTTTGTGCAGCAGGAATGACTTCAGTGTTTTTGTGACATTTTTTCAGTAATTTTTTTGCCCAGCCCAGCAGCCAGTCTGCCTCTGCTCATAGATTCTCAATTGAGTTGAGGTCAGGAGAGTTTCCAGGACAGTTTAGAATGCTTAGCCCACTCTCTTTGAAGAATGTCAGCATTTTTCTGGAAGTGTGGCATGGAGCAAAATCCTGCTGACCAATGCCTTCTCCATCAGGAAAGTAAAGTTTATTTCTTTGTAAAGGTTACAATGTGTAATTACAATTGTGATTTGCTAAGTACAAAGATAGCCACTATCATGCTGAGGCATTTCGGGCAAACTAATCCTAATACATAGTAACTAATTAAAACTAGGTGAGATAATAGTACATAGTAACCATACTTAAAACTAGACAAGTAATAGTGGTTAGCTGTTTTACAATCTTATTTAAACTTAATACAAGCGAGTAGGGTTCGGTAAACTAAGCTTGAAATTGCACACAAAATCTACCTTAGAAGTAATGGTGCATGTGGTAATATTTTATTGAATGGCAGAATTAAAAAGCCAGGAGATCACATAATAAGACTAATTTGTAGATGTTTTGACCGATTTGGTTAATATTGAGAAATATTATGGATTTGCAGAATTTAGAAGCAAATGAGTTGCCAGGATTGCCTTGTTTTTGTCACTGTTCATTGTCCCCTCAACAATAACAAGCCATCCAGGGCTTTTAGCAGTAAAGCTACCCCAAAACATCTTAGGTGGATGTTTTGGTACTTGTTAAATGTGATGAATGGTTTGTCGGTTTTTCAAACCATTCATCACAAGTGTCTCAATCTTCAACTTGTTAAATGTGTTCATTCTGAGGAGGTTTACCCCTTGCTCCCTCTCACTACCACTGTTTTACCCATTCATCTGTTATCCATCCCTTATGATCAAGTGCCCACTGCAGTCATTTTGTCTTCATACCAGCAGTCAATAATTGTTTCTTTCCAGGCTTTCTGGCAGTTCTGCCAACTTCAAGAAGCCTTCATCGAACAGTTTAAGAATCAACATTTATGCCAGCTGAAACCAAACCTCTATAGACCTTCTCTGGTTTTCTTGGGATTCTTCACACTGTTTATTATAACCTCGTCATTGTGAGGTGTTGTCTTGTATTTTCTCCCCATCTTCCTCAATGCAGTGCTCCTTAGTCACCAGTGTCACCAGCTCTCTTTAGAATCTGACTAACAGTTGACTTTACTAGGCTCAAATTTTTGGCAACTTCTGATACTCAAACCAGCATGTTTTCTAAGAGGTACAATACTTGCATGCTTCCTATGTGTAACATCCATCATGAATTTAAGCGGTAATTATGAATTGAAGGGGAGAAATTGGTGAAACCACTTTCACTCGTGGAGCATGCTTACAGGAATAGCTTTACAGAACAAGAGTTGCTGTAGCACTGAAGAGAGTTGCAGGGCAACTCCACAGCTGGATGGTTGCCAGAAGTCAGTAGCAAACTCTTCTGAAAAGAAAAGAACCCAAACTACATTAATTAAGCCAGAGACTAAGACATATGAGATAATCACAAAATTTACTCCTGTCCCAATTAATTTGCACACTACTGTATCTAGCTTTACTCAATTTCTTTCATATATTGTAATCTTGCATGCCAGAAAGTTTCATAGACAGCCTTCATGGCAAAATTCATTACAAATACTGATAAGTAGTGCTTTATTATGGGTATATAATAAAGGTGCTACAGTATACTAATATTATCTGTGATTCTTAATTAGTGATAACATATTGAAATCAATTGTATAAGCAGACTGTTCTGGAGGATATAGTTCTTCTATGTTGGATTCCCTTCGACGGGCACTGGATGTGTCTAAGAGTCTGTCCATACAGCGCCAGAATTACCAGTTTCTCACCTTGCCTGAAGTCTTCCGTTTAGCTACACTTGGAGGAGCTCAAGGTAAGTGTCAAGACACCATACAAAAATACAATACAGTACTTCATTAAATAGGATAAGTTGTGTATCTGACAGTTACTTTTTGCTGATGATACTGTTATTTTGGGGGATTCTAAAGAAGAGTTGCAAAGGTTAGTGGACAAGTTTGGGAGGGTGTGTAAAGGTAGAAAGTTGAAAGTGAATATAGATAAGAGTAAGGTGATGAGGGTATCAAACAATTTAGATAAAGAAAAATTGGATATAACATTGAAGTGGAAGAAGTGAATGTTTTCAGATATTTGGGAATTGACTTGTCAGCAGATGGATTTATGAATTTCGAGGTAAACCATAGAATTGATGAAGGAAAAAAGGCGAGTGGTGCGTTGAGGTATCTAAAGGGACTGTATGAGAGTATAGTGGTACCAACACACTTCTATCGGTGTGAAGCATGGGTTGTAAATGCTGCAGCGAGGAGGTGGCTGGAGGCAGTGGAGATGTTGTGTCTAGGGGCAATGTGTGGTGTAAATATTATGCAGAAAATTTGAGAATTCGTAGTGTGGAAATTAGGAGGTGTGCAGTTACTAAAAGTATTAGAGGGCTGAAGAGGAGCTGTTGAGGTAGTTTGGTCATTTAGAGAGAATGGAACAAAGTAGAATGATTTGGAAAGCACATAAACCTATTGGGGAAGGAAGACTGGGTAGGGGTCGTCCCCAAAAAGGTTGGAGGGAGGGGGTAAAGGAGGATTTGTGGGCAAGGGGCTTGGACTTCCAGTAAGCATGCATGACTGTCTTATAGGAGTGAATGGAGATGAATGGTTTTAGGAACCCGACGAGCTGTTGGAGTGTCAGCAGGGTACTATTTTGTGAAGGGATTCAGGGAAACCGGTTAGCCAGACTTGAGTCCTGGAAATGGGAAGTACAATGCCTGCACTTTAAAGGAGGGGTTTAGGATATTGGCAGTTTGGAGGGTCGTCTAAACTGTCATATCTGAGCTCCTCTGCAAAGACAGTAATTATGTATGAGTGATGGTGAAAGTGTTGAATGATGATGATAAATTTTTTTTCTTTCTTTTTGGGTCACCCTGCCTTGGTGGGAAATGGCAGACGTGTTTAAAAAAACAAAATTGTGTATTTCTATAAAGCTGTATGATACCATAATAAATTACATAAAATCAGAGGTGGTGCCATAAATTTCTGTAGTGAGAGAGCCTAGAAGTGTCTATCTGGTTGAAAGGGAAATGCTTGTTTTTTTTTTTAAAGCAGCAGCTTTAACCCTTTCAGGGTCGGCAGGCCTTCTCCTAAACTTGTTCTCAGGGTCGGAAATTTAAAAAAAAAAAAAAAAAGTTTTTTCTTATTAAATGTTAGAGAATCTTTTCCCAATCATAATGACACCAAAAGTATGAAATTTGATGGAAAACTTACGGAATTATGCTCTCACGAAGTTAGCGGTTTCGACGATGTTTACACATCGGCGATTTCGCCCACTTTGAGCCCTATTTTTGGCCAATTCCAATGTACCAGTCAACAACAATCATAACTATTTTTCTAAAACATCATTTTTTCTATCGAATGAGTACAAGAAACCACCCATTTACCGATTTCAAATATCCAATAAAGTGGTCAGAAATTGTAAATTTTGCCAATTTCACACAAATTTCAAAAGATGCCAATTTCCAAATAGGCTCCAAAATAAACAAGACAGACATTCCTGGCACTAAAATAAAATTTTTTTTCTGTTCATTAGTCTCATCCCCAGGACTCTTTTACATTTCTTTTGCTTTCCACTTTGAATTTTTATTCTCCAAAAAAAAAAAAAAAAAAAAAAAAAAAAAATAGAAGATTTACTCTTATGCAGGCTACTGCATTAGTGTAGAAATGGTATAAATAATATCAGCGCACTTGTGAAAGAATATTAGACACACCAGTTGACGTGTATTGGACGCGTGGCATGATTTGTTTACTTTTGAACTTTGGCAAAAATCGAACATTTCTGCTACTTTGAGCTCAATTTCAAGGTACTTTTCATTATGACACCAGTCAAAATCATCTCAATTTCTGTAACATGTCTTCCATTGTATAAAAAAAAGACCAGGAAAACTAGAATACAACCATAAATAGCATATGAAAATACACTGTAAAGTTTCTGTTTTAAAGCAGAAAGACAGTCGGATTTTTTTTTTTCTCATTATGTACTGTGTGGTGCAGGATTTTTTTTATACTGTGCACACTGACCACATACACATTCTTTCATGTGTAGGCCTACCAGCTTTCTCTCACTAGATTTGAAGGCGCTAGAATTTATGCGTACTAGTACGGCACCAACCCTGGCGTGCAAGTCGTACAGTATGGCACCAACCCTGAAAGGGTTAATACTGTTTTATTTGGAGGGTCTTTGGAAGGCATGGGGATTTTTTGGAAAGCTGAAGCCCCCTCAAGCTTCCCTTGATGTCATCCCTGCTAAAATACATACGGATACACACAAATATGAATGCTGTTTATATGAATATTGCAGTATATTTTAATACATTCTAGGTAGTATGTTGGTAAACAGCAACTGCCCAGGGAGGTACTATAGTCCTGCCAAGTGAGTGTGAAATGGAAGCCTGCACAGGTCCACCATCACAAATCTGGCATCATTAGGGCCTGTAGTGTGCTGGATTACTGAGTTTGCCAGATTACAGAGTGGTTAGGCTAGAATACACTTAATAAAATTAACCACTTTGACTTGCACAAAGTTCATTGAACATCGGCAAAAATCGAACATTTCCACTACTTTGAGCTCAATTTCATGATTTTTTCTTCATGAAACCAATGAAAATCATATCTATTTCTGTAAAATATCTTCCATTCTGTCAAATGAGACCAAAAAAATGAGAATACAACCACAAAAACTATACGAAAATATACCACTAAGGGGCGGCTAATAGCTGAGAAATGAACTCGGTTATCTGTCATCCGATTTTTCATTTTTGGTGTACGTTAAGAAGCATCTTTCCATCATACATTGCCCAAATTTCAATAAGATAGCCCAACAAACAAGTGAGAGAGAAAAAATTATTATAATAATATCTTTATTTACTACAAGTACATGTACATGGTATACAGGCCTAGCTGACATCAGTGAAATACTACTATATAGAAAGCCCCTTGTGCTAAGCATTTCAGGCATATTAGGTCAGTGTCCCAGGATAAGACTCACATGGACGTAAACGATGCCTGGGAAAAATTCAAAACAATGTTCACTACCATCCTTGATAATATTGCTCCAGTTAAAGAGGTTAGGATTAAACGAAGAACTGAACCCTGGATGAATACTGAGATATTAGATAATATGAAATTCAGAGACCAGCTGCTAAAAAGATTTAAAGCAAACAGACAGGATATTGCAGCACTAAATGAATTCCAAAGGGTGAGGAACAGAGTACAGAGACTTATAAAAGGAGCAAAGGCAAAGCACTATTGCTCAAAAATTGAAGAGCATAAGCATAACCCCAGAAAGCTCTGGCAACAACTAAAACAGTTGGGGTATAGCCATAAGCCAGTAGATAGGTTTAACATAGTACTCGCTATCGATAATGAGGTACGCCACGAAACATCTAAGGTGGCAAATTGCTTTAATTCCTACTACACATCTGTTGCATCAACACTAGTAAGTAAACTACCAGCTGCATCAAATACCTTTAACACAGACTCTGATAAGTTTCAAACATACTATACCAATAAAGGGGTAACCCCAAACACTTGTCAACTAGTAAGTGTATCTCATGACTTTATTCAAAAAGAACTAAGCAGGTTAAACCCAACTAAGAGCACAGGCCCTGATAACATCCGTCAAAGTTCCTAAAAGATGGTGCTTCTGAACTGTCAATCCCTATTGCTCACATAATAAATCTATCAATCACCACTAATACCATACCAGAGGGGTTCAAGGAGGCCAGAGTTACTCCTATCTTCAAGAAAAATAGTAGGTCTGATGTAAGCAACTATAGGCCTGTTAGTATACTCAGTATAATATCTAAAATTCTAGAGAGGGCGGTGTTACTCTCCAAGTAGTTAAGTACCTTAATGACAACAACATTCTCCATAGCTATCAATCGGGCTTTAGAAGAACCTACTCAACCGACACCTCCCTTATTAATCTGATGGATTACCTGAGAACTGAAATGTCAAAGGGGAACCTCATAGGTAAGGTAACCTTAGACCTGCAAAAGGCCTTCGATACTGTCAACCACAATATATTATGTAAGAAACTTCAAGCTATCGGTATAGGTTCTGTAGACTGGTTTAAGTCCTACCTTAGCAACAGGAGACAAATAGTCAAAATCAACAAAACGGAATCAGGACCCCTGCCAATAACATGTGGAGTTCCCCCAAGGTAGTACAGTGGACCCCCGCATAACGATTACCTCCGAATGTGACCAATTATGTAAGTGTATTTATGTAAGTGCGTTTGTACGTGTATGTTTGGGGGTCTGAAATGGACTAATCTACTTCACAATATTTCTTATGGGAACAAATTCGGTCAGTACTGGCACCTGAACATACTTCTGGAGTGAAAAAATATCGTTAACCGGGGGTCCACTGTATTCTGGGTCCCTTATTATTCTTATGTTATGTCAATGACATGCCTATCAGTGTCAAGTGCAAACTCCTACTGTATGCAGATGACAGTGCTCTGTTAGTGTCAGGTAAAGACCCACAAGATATTGCTAATGTTTTAACACTGGAACTGGAGTCCTGCAGCAAATGGTTAGTAGACAACAAACTATCATTACACCTCAGGAAAACTGAAGCCATTCTCTTTGGCACGAAACGTAAACTGAGAAGGGTAAATAATTTTAATGTTCAGTGAAATGGGGAGCCCATCACTTGGGTTTCGTCAGTAAAATATCTGGGAATCCCCTTTGACCCAGGCATGTCAGGAGAATTGATAGGGAACAGTGTAGTAAAGAAAGCGAATGCCAGACTGAAGTTCCTGTATAGACAAGCACAGTGTCTACCTACTGAGGCTCGCAGGACCCTATGTCTAGCCCTTATACAGTGCCATATGGATTACGCTTGCTCTTCGTGGTACTCTGCCTTGACAAA